ATATATATATAAAACACATTGCCTGATTTTTGTTTTATTGGTGTGACTAAGTGAATAAACAAATGCTATGTGAAAAACCCAAGTCTTTAAAATTGCTGGGAAGGAATTCAATTACACCCTTCACATCTCAGGGTATATGACCCCTGGGTGGCTCTTCTGTGATGTTACACACGCCATGAGCTCTAACGGAATTAGATTTTTGAACTGCTTCACATTTATTCTGTAAAGGTTCAAAGATCTTAACAGGCCATGATTTTACTTAAATTTCTTAAATCTAGGCTCTCATAAAATAGAATTTAGGGTGGGTTTTGCCCACTCCCTAGTCCAATATTGTCTTTAACAAAAGCAGATGATGCCCTTTGTCTTTTTTTCCCAGTAAAGCAATTAGCCTTCCAATAGTTAAACAGACCGACCGACAGACAGACAGACAGACACACTCACACATATACACACACACACAGCATAATGAAGTATTCTACTGTACATAGATGATGACAGACAGAAATACATAGAGTAATGAATTATTTCTATTGTAGAGCAAACATCTATTTGGGGAAGAGTCTGTTATTCATGTTCAGAGAGAAAAGCAATTTTGCCTTCGGAAGTTTAAAAACATAAATTTGTGACTCTGACAAAATAAACATGATGGACTCTCCTGGAAATTTAAAATAATTATATCTTAAGCTTTGGCTTTTTATTTTTTCCTACTTAAAAATATGTAATAAACTATTATTCATTCATGCCACATAATAACACAATGATGTCTGTATAATATAATGTGCTTTTTTTTTAAAGTGGGAAAACCAAAAATTTATTTTTTATTATTTTAATTTATTAGTACATGTGTTAGTACATAATGTTTGCATTCCTTGTGGAAAGTTGGTACATGTATATAACACATCTTAATTCCTTTCAAAAAATTTGAAGGACTCAATTTCACCTAAAAGTGGCTTAGAAATGATTTAGTACCTGGTAAAAACAAACTATTTTAATATTTGAAAAAGGAAGATTTTAAATATTATACATTTTTAATAATGGCAATAGGTAAATCAACTTTTCAAATGTCAGATATACCCAAAAATTACTTATTCTGATGCATAGAACCCAAGTAAACAGTAAATTATAATGTGCTTTTTTATGCACTTTTCACATTATTCTCAACAAAGTGATAATACAGGATTTATTACTAATAAATAAATAAATAAATACAGGATTTACTATCAATATTATTAGTACCATGCACTACTTCATGTTTATGTGACACATGTAAAGACACATTCCTGGTAAAAAGACAAACAGAACATTTTTTTAAAATCTTATTTTTCTAATATTCTGTAATTACAGTAAAAAAATTGTTTTACTTCTATAGCGCTTTTAACTCTTCTCTTGCATTTGACAGGGAAGAGATCCGGAATTGAGATTCAACAGGAAAATGATCCTTCTTGCAAAAAGGATTGTTTTAAGAGTCATGGAAAAGTGAAAGTGTAAAAGGAACTATTAGAAAATGCTTCTGTTCTGGGTTCTAAGAAGTTTCCATCTCGGCTCCTAAAAGCTTGCAAGGCTGATAGGGTCAGACAGTCCTAATTGAGGATTTCTTAACTTAATTGAGGTTGGGTTTCAAACCTAATCTTGGAAGAAGTCATATCTTTCTAACCATCTCCATTGTCAATGCACAAATCTCACCCCAGCCTGCTTGTTGAGAAGTATGTGAAGAATAAAAGTCACCACCTCTATGGAGCCGGGCTTCTGATCCACACTAGACAGTTTAAAAATAAGTTAGGTTCACTCCCGGAGGCTTCCCACATGTTTCTGATGTATCATAAAGTGCAATATAAATAAAGATCCTCATTTAGAAAGGTCAGTATCTACGCAAGCTAAGAGGGATAGATTGTCTCAAGCTATTGGCCTCCCTGTATCCCCAGAGAGTTATTCTCATAGAATTATATACCACCTGGGTCCCCTGGGTCTAGAATGTTAGGCCCAGAGTGTTTAGAAACAACAGCTCTGTGACTCTGGCATGACCATTCCCATTGGTGTCCCAGTCGTCTCCCTAGGAATCATGCGTGAGTTTGGGAGCAAAATTCTTCCTAAATGGCAGGTGTTCATTTATGAGGAATTTTCTGTATTTGTTGATGCCTTGAAGACAGTCTAGCCCATTTTGGCCTCTTGACTGAATACTAAGATAAGGATGACAGAATTAAAAGTAGCCTTAGGAGAGGATTAGGTGACGGGTGAAAATATGAGGAAAATGCCCAAACCCAGCCCTTAAAGAAAATCTTAGTCATGGAAGTAGCTAGAATACGACAGTACGTTGACACCACAGAAGATGCAACATTGGATCAGAGGCGGAGTCAGAATGTGCGGATGAATTCACAGTCAAAGTCAGGAGGTGTCACTAAGGAGAAAGAACAAGAGAGTCGAGTTGCCAGGATGGTCAGCGCAGTTACGATCCTGTAGACACCCGGATGTGCGGCTCTCCAGCCTCTGCTCCTGCCTCCATTCCTACCTTCAGCGTCACCTCGTTAGTTCTATTTCTTTTTCTGTTTATGTATTCGTTTAGCTTTTTCCTTTTCAATTTTTAATCCCATTTAGTTTATAGACAAACTGAATGAAATTTAAATTGTCATGAAATAATTTTACGTATTTATGGCATGCAGTGGGATAAACTGTGTACAGCGTAGGATGATCTAACTGGGGTAACTAGAATTGCCATCACCTTAAACAATTACCGGTCTTGGGGGTTGAGAGGCTTAGTTTCATTTTTTAAAATTACAGGAGTACTTACTATAAGATCATTTTAAAAAATACTAAAATAATTTTAAAGTGTGCAAAGTAAAAAGAGTTCCTTCCTTACATTCAACTCCCACTTCCCTATAGAACCAATGCTAAAACTTAGATCTGGAAACTGTAATTTTTCTAGGTACACATGTACATCTAGGTCATTTAAAAAATGTGCTCACATTATATATATTGTATTACAAATTATAATCACACATTACAGACTCCACTCCAAAATACATCATCTGTATCTACCTCCTTTTCATGTATAAGCCATAGTAAGAATATGTAAAATGGGTTAGCTACTTCACTATTAGTAGTTGGATATTGCCTTGAACATTCTTGTACCGGTGCTCACAGATAAATATTCCTTTAGGATACATTCTTAGAATGGAATTACTGAGTCAACAGGTACATATTTACATTTGTATAGACACTGCCAGATTGCTTCTTTATTCCAGTTTATACTTTCACCAGTAGTGTTTACGATACTCTTTATCCTCACCATCGTTAGATGTTATTGTTCATTTCACAAATCAGAATCTATTTAATTTACACTACAGGCTTTGATAATTATGAGTGTTCTCAGCCTGGCATTCATCTCTTGTCTGTGAATGCTACTTTGGTAGGCTTAGAAATCCTGAGGTAGGTTTCCTGGATCCTCTTTTTCCTACTAACTCTATTCTTGCTCATAAGGCTTATAAAAATTTTGTCTCTATGAATCCCACACATTTTATAGTTTCTCCTACCTTCTTGTCCTCCCTACCCTATTCTACAAAGTTTATGTAAAGAAGAAATTTTACTCTCAGTGATTCAGGAAAGTTAACAACTTCCTTGAATTCGCAAGGTTAATATAATGTTATGGCTTGTGTTTAGATGTTCCCCTGAAGCCTCATGTAGTGGTTGGCAGGCCTTTTTGCAGAGGTGGCTGAATTTAGAGTGCATAATGCTGGGATTAAGGGTGTGTGATTACTAAATCAGTTTTATGATTGTTTTGGACCTGCCCTAATCCCAGTAGTTTAGATAGGATATAAAGGGCAAAAAGATGCTGCTAAGGTCTCTTGCTTGCTTTGTTACTTTCTGCCCACTGTAAACTGTTTCTGCTTTGCAATGCCTATCTGCCATGCCCCCTGCCTTCGAGCCAGCTGATTATACACTGAAACCTCTACAAAGTGTAAGCCAAGAATACTGCTCCTCCTTTAACTTTGGGTGTTGGGTATTTTGTCTTAGCCATGAGAAAGTAATTCATACAGTAAAGCAAGGAATGCAGACTTGAATATAAGCCTCCTGCATTCAAAATCCATGTTCCAGGAACCATTTCCCCATTTTCCTCTCTGGAACAGATAACCAATAGTATACTTCCAATCAACAGTTTGCTTTATTTTGCAATGTCCACCATCTCTAGAGAAATTCAAGCTTTTTGTAGGGTCATTTGGACTTGGGGACACTGCAGTTTGTGGCATAAAAGTATTTATTTGGCTCATAAAATATTTTACAATTTGAATGTTCTGGTATGCAACCCCCAGGGACCCAGGGCATCCTGTCCAGGTGAGGATAACTGCCAGGTTGTGAAGAATTCTCACGATGACCTTCTGTAGTGAATGTAAGAGCCAGAATTAGAACCAGGTATGTCCATTCTGAATCTTAAGCCCCTTTTCACACGTACAGTACTCTATGCAGTCCTTCATACTGATCAAGATGCTCACGGAAGCAGATCAATGCATTTCTTCCCTATAGGCAAATTACATGGGAACCCAAAATCTCAGGGTTGCATGCTGAGCATGGAGTCAGAACAAGGCGAGTCCAGAGTCCTAAGAAGCTAACTTCAACACAAGTAGCTGAAAACCCACAAAGACCCTAGATGGTGATCAGGCGATGATAATGATAGGGAACATGGCAATGGTGGCAAGCTAGAGAGTGAATGTCCTTCTGATGGGAGCTGTTACCGCTCGGGCCCGTCAGTTTGGATAAGCCGAGTCTCCTAATTTTCCAAGAAAAGCTAGAGACCTAGACCTGTCTGTGTGAAATCAGTTGGCAATTTACTCACTTTGAAATATTCTGTCAATATAGCATGAAGACTGACATTTTTCCAATTGTCCTTTTCATCCTTGAGAGCCAACCTTTGTTTACAGTATTTTCCAAATGGAGTATTTCCTTTCCATCTCCTCTTGCTCTAATATACTTACTTCAGCCATGTCTCCCTGGGAGAATTCCCAGTTTAAGTTTTAGGTGGACTCACATCGTCAATTCCGGACCTGCCATTATTATTTTTGGACTTATTCATTATTCTTATACTAGATGCCAAATAACTTTTGAGTGTGAATCTCAGAGAATATTTCAATTTCCATGCCCTCAGGGGTCTTTTACTGCTATCACACTGAAGGACAACAAAATTGTTTTTGGATGTGAAAAGAATTATTTTTATTTTTTATTATATTATATTTTATTTTATTATTTTTTGGTACCAGCGATTGAACTCAGGACCTTGTGCTTGTGAGGCAGGCAGTGGAAACACTAAGCTAAATCCCCAGCCCTTATTTTTAAATATATACGTGTCACTTCATTGGATTAGAGGTTGATTTTTAGTGAATGCTTTATTCTCCTGAGAGGATTTAGGGAAGGATGTAAACAGCTTGGAGGAGGAGGAAACAGAGGAAGTGTTTACACATATCAAAACAAGAAAGAGAAATTAGACTGAAATTTAGTTAAAAATAAAGGCTGAACTTTCCTTCCATATCTCGGTGACCCTCAGTTGACCATTCTTCCTCCAAGTGAGAAGTAGCTACTCCTGCCTCGTGGTACACAACCTTCCCCTGTCAGAAAAGGAGAGAAAGCAGGAAAGCACCCGGAGAATGGACGGTAACTTCACCTTTCATTAGTCACTGCATGCCAGTTGGTACACTTGATAACTGTAATGTTTTGAGTGCATTTCCATTAGACATGAATTTAATATAATAGCATTCAGGCATGGAGACTTTATCAACATCTCCAAATACTCATATCCATGGTTCACCAACAGGTCTATCTTTAGTTCTTAAGTGTTGGTTTTTAATAAAAGAGCTGTTATGAAAAATCTATTTCAAAATTTACTAATCAGACTTCCCTGCTAAGGGTCTACTACCTTTAGTGTTGAGACATGACTCGTCATGACACGCTACCAAGCAAATGATATTCTTCCAAAATCTAAATACACGGGATTCTAAAATAACAAGATCTTGTCCCACAGCCCTATAATTTTATGTAACAATCACGATGCCTATCCAAACAAGCCTGATACTTTACAAGACTCTAGAATCTAAGTGAATCACCAGAAAAGCTATTTATGCTCTGCAAAATGTGCGTCCAATGGGTTTCATTGTAATCCAGTTTTTTTTAAAAACTGATAATCTGAACTACAAGACTTCCCAGAGCATTATTACCAAGAGAATTACCTCATATGCTTCCTAAAAATCTCATCAGATTATCCAAGAATTTTGTACAATTCCCATTCTCCTTGGACATGGGTGGCTAAACAGAACTGAGCTTGAATCCTGACCACTTAAACCTATAGCCTTGGCCTAGCTGATTAATTTGAGGAGCTCAGTTTCTTCAATATAAAGTGAACAAGGACAATATCCACCTCGTGTGGTATTGGTGTAGGGATTAAATGAGACAATATATAATAAGGGCATACAATTCTTTAATAAATGGTGGCTGGTAATGTGTTTTTCAATGCGATCGCCTTTTGAGGGCAAATCAATGACAGGGAGGCATAGAGAATGCATACTACTCCGAAGGGGCCCTCTTCTTCACTGGGGAGAAGCTGCAAACAGCCATAAGACACTGACTAATCTAAAATCATTTCCATGACAAAACTAAGTGACAAGCATATTGTACACGTGGTAGCCACTGAGAGAACTCTCACTCCTGCACTCCTCCTTGGTCTCCACAGTGAGAAGATGCTGAGGACAGGGGCAGAGAGGACTAAGATCCCCGCTGTTCTGGCCATCATGCCTTGCCGTTAGCAAGCTGCAGCCTGAGGATTGCAGCCAGCCAGCCAGGAAGAGTGGATATAATTATCTCCCGATCCTTTGAAGCTGGAGCCAGAAATATTTGTTGTCACGATCACATGTGATTAGGACAGCAACATCCTCCTGCAGAAGACAGAAGAACCCTTTGTACCCCACCCTTCCTCTGCCACTGGCAGGGAGCAGGAAGTGGGGAGAGGAGGCAACTGGCCCCTTGCCTCTCTGTCCAATTTCACACATTGGTTTCTCCAGATTAATAAATTGGTTACATTTGCCCCACATTTGGCAGGCGGGGTTTCTAATAACACTCTGATCCCTTCAGAGAGCATGAATCACAGGCATGCGGAGGGCTCTGGTTACCTCCTCCCCCACTGTCTGCTGCAAAAGGTCCTGAACATTAGCAGGGGTCAGACACTCGCCTGGCCTGGGGCAGTCGAGGACAAGGGCCATGGCTTCCAGGCACTGTCACAGAGCTCAAAGATTTTCCTTCAGAGAGAACCGATAAACTTTAAGCCAGGCAATGTGCAGCTTTTTCAGCTGTCAATCCTACCTGGTTTGCATACAGATTGAGAAAATGTGTGAGATTTTACCACGAGAATCGGTCTGGAGAATTCAAGGGGATGGGGGCGGGTGGAGAGGGGATGACAGGAGAAAAATGTGGGATGCAGATGTCTGAGATTTCCATGTTGCCGGACTCTACTTCTTTGCATGGAGCCTGCAGACTCTGGGGATGCAAAGCAGGAGTGAGAACAATGCAGAATGCATCTACATTTCTCTGAGACAGCATTTCTTTCTGTCATGGAGTTAGATGCCAGAAAGCTCCCCGAGTAAGGAGAAGGCCTTGAATGGAGAAGATACCCAGAGTCAGGGCCACATTGTTCGTCTCAGTGGGCCGAGGAAAGGAGGAAAGCAGGGGGAAGGAATGAGCTTTGGAGAAGACCAGCTGTCCTAGAACAGACCTGGGAACCAAATGGATGGAAGAGAAGAGAGAAATGCAACATGTTTTAAAAAATGAGTAGAGGGAAAGGACAGACATTCAAGCAAGTCCAGCAGATAATGTGTATCAGCCTGTATTTGAGAGAAAGAAGTGTTTTTGTGTTTTTAGACCACAAGTAGATAGCAAATCCAGTTTCTGCCCTCCAGGGTCTTGCAGATCAGTTTCTAAAACGTGGCCTCACAAGTCAATCCCAGACAGTATAAGTAAAGGTGCAATTTCAGATGGCAGTGTCATGAGGTATGACAAAGGGAGAGGTTTTGTGGGGAGATTTTGTAGAGCAAGAATGTATCGTGATTGCCCTGGGAAAGTTGGCAGGATGGAGCTAGGAAGAGTGTGGGGAGGATGCCTCTGAGTAAAATTGGTGGTAAAGAGAGGAGAGAGGAGGGAGCAACCAGAGGAACAGATAATTAATGGTGGAAAGACAAATGAAAAGGAAGAGAGTGGAAAATGAAGAGGGACCCATACTGCCACTCATAATGGCCACCGACCACCTATCTTTACCTTAGACTCTTTAAAAGAATTAGAAGAAGTTTTCTGTAGGATTCTGTGAACTCAATCTAGCTGCCAACTCAGCAGCCCAGTTCTAGGCTTAGAGGAATAGAAGCAGCCAGGGCTCTGCACAGAGAGGAAGTAGGAAGCATCCCCTCTCCTCAGACTCAGGCCAGGCTCACCATAGAGGCCCCAGACAGAAATCTGGACTCTCTCCTGGGCGATTCCCAAGCTAATGATGCCCTATGACCTTCCTCTTTGTTACTTCTTTCTCTCTGTGGCTTTCAGAATACACAGGAAGGCAAAACTCTTTCTTCTATTTCAAATCTTCACAAAAGTTTAAAGAATGACAACATACAGAAAACAATTTGAAATATTTCAACCATTTATTAGGATTTGATTCCATTTGTAGTGTTGGGCAGATAAACCAGGTTAGGGCTGGTCAAGGGCAGCCTTTATTTGTGGTATCTGCCAATTTTTATAGAATAAAATTTCACACTGTGAATATTTTAAGCCATCAATGATTTATGAAATGCCTTGCAAAATCCCTAAATATCTGCTCTCAGAGACTGCTAAGAGTAGGCTCTGGTATGCAATATGTTTTTTCTGAACTATTTAAAATAACTTACAGGTATCATGGCACTGAATCAAATACTTCATGCAGCATGCACAAGGGTAAAGACATTTGTAATATAATCACATCCTCACACACAAGAACAAAATAGGCCAAGCATGCCTACAATGCCAGCTACTTGGGAAGCGAAGGCAGGAGAATCCCAAGTTTACACATTTAAGGTCAGCTTGGACAACTTAGCAAGAGCTTGTCTTGAAATAAAATAAAGTAATAAAATCAAATAAACCAACAGAACTGGGGATGTAGCATTACAGCAAGAAATAGACCCTCGGTTTGATCCCCAATACCACAAAAAGAAAGGGAAGATAAAAGGAAGGAAGAGAGGGAGGGAGAAAGGCAGGCAGGCAGGCAGGCCAGCCAAGAGTTTTTCCTAATATTGCCTAATATACTTTTTCCACTAAAATTTCTCAATTGTCCTCAAAATGTGTCTTAATATTTTTTAAATGCCAGAATCCTACTAAGGTTGAATATTGCATTTGAAGTTTTCTTCACTTTCTTCTTTTTATAATTTTATTTTTAATTGCCAAACAGTGACAGTCTACACTTACGGGCACAGTGTGATATTCTGATTATATGTATGCATCTGGAATGACTGTATCTGGTTGCCATTTTCTCATATATCATTTTACATTTTTAAAGTAAGGAGATTTAGAATATGTACTTTTAGTAATTTTTAAATATACAATATACTATTATTGACTATGGTCAGCCTGCTGTGCAACCTGTCTCACAATCTCACTCCTAAGTGGAATGCGAGTCAGCTTCTCATTCCTCAGCCCCTCACCCCTAGCTTCCAGAAACCACCTCTCCACTCTCCTTCTCTTGAAGGGTCTGGAGCAGCTGTCTTTAGAATGTCTCACCTTCTGAATTTGTATGGTTGTTCTTCACGGTAAGATGCAAGTTTGACTTTTTGGCAAAAAAAAAATATGTGTGTGTGTGTGTGTGTATTGCATGGGTGTAGCTCGTATCAGGCATGCCTCTTATCAAAAGGCCCACGTAATGTCAGATTCTTCCACTCTTGGTGACAGTCTGATTATTTAAAGTAGTAATCCTCAAATCTTTCTATTAAAAAGGTGTCTTTCCTCCTTCCTGATTATTAAATGATTTGTGGGCTATTACACTGATGTCATGTGCTACTTCTAAACTGCTTTTGTGTAGAGATTACAATCTGTTTGTTGAATCAATGATTACAGCAAGGAATGAAATACAGTGATCTTCTAATTCTATCACTCCTTCTGCATTTAGGAAGTGGCATTCTTTTGCCAAAACAAGTGCCTTTTAAAATTTCATTACAGACTCATGAACTTACAAAAATATTCAATGGATTCTAATCCATTATTGTAATTTTCTTCTTGATGTTGAAATTATCTCAAACTTGCTCAGGGATAACACTTTCAAACAAGATCTTGTATTCTTTTGATATTACCTCATTAATTGTTAAAAACTTCCTTCCTTTTTGGCACCCTAAAATTCCTCAGGTTTACTTGTGTTAGTTGGACATTAAAGCAAGAAGCAGTGATTTCTTCGAAAAGTCCTAGTTTCTTTAGTGGGAAATGACACTTGGCAAGCGAGATCTGGGTGCTCGGAGTGCTTGTTTCTTTACGGATGTTACTGGTTTTTAGGTCCTTTCAGTTGACATAGTTGCAAAGCCACATACTATATATGCATGATGGGTGCCTCAACCTTATTATCTCAGAATATGACCTTGTTTGGAGACAGAGAATTTGCAGAAGTAATCAACTAAAAAGAGGTCACCCAGGTAGGCCCTAATCTGATATGACAGGTATCCTAAAAGCAGACGATCTGAAGACCCAGGGAAAAGACGGTTACTTATAGGCCAAGGGGGGAGACCTGGAGTAGATCTTTCTCAAACAGTCCTCAGAAGGAATCAAGTCTTCCTACACCTTGATTTTGGACAGACCCATGAAACAATACACTTCTGTTGCTGAAGTCACCCAGTTTCTGTTCCTTTATTATGGCAGCCTGAGCAAACCTATACACTACCATACCAAATTACTACAAGTTTAACAATTTAAAACAACACATTCAGGAACTTATGTACCTTTGGCTTAAAGGTCTGGTATGAGTCACACCAGATTAAAATCAAAGTTTCAGTGGGGCCGCGATTCTTCCTGGGGACTCTAGGAGAGAATCTGACCTATTTCCTTGTTCACTGCATTTTTAGCAGAGTTCAGTCCCTTGTAGACTGATTGATTGGATTGATTGGTTGATTTTTGGTACCAGGGACTAAACTCAGGTCATTGTACTTGTGAGACAGGCAGCAGAACCACTGAGCTAAATCCCCATCCCCCTGTAGTATTACAACTTGTGCCCTGATTATTTGTCAGTTGAGGGCCATTCTCAGTTTCTCGAGGACACCTGCATCTCTTGGAACAGCGCCTCTTTTTTTTCTATCTTTCAAAATCAGCAAAGAGGTCGGAGATTTAGCTCAGTGATTCTGCTGCCTGCCTTGCAAACACAAGGTCCCAAGTGTGATTCCCGGTACAAAACAACAACAACAACAACAAAACCCAGCAAAGATAGTTTGGGTCACATTCATGCTTCTGATCTGTCCTGCATTTTGCTCCCTTATGACATTTGTATTGTTATTTTTTGTCCTTTTCTTTCACTGTGAAGGGCTCATGCCATTTCACTGGACTCACTCAATAATGTGGAATAGACTGGGCATGGTGGTGCATGCTGCGAGTTTGAGGTGAGCCTGGACTACATAGTGAGTCCAAGGCCAGCCGGAACTCCATAGTGAGACCCTGCCTCAAAAGACCACAACCATCAAACCATCATCATCATCATCATCATCATCTGGAATAATCTCCTGACTTTAAACTAATGCTCTTTTTTTTTTTCTTCCAGTTCCCAGTGCCTCACCCATGCTGGACAAGCACTCTACCACTGATTACACATCCAGCTCTAGTCTTCATATGTTAAGGTGACCTGAATTCTATTATAATACTTTTGCTATGTAACATAATTGTAGGTCCCAAGTGTGGACATGTTGGGAAGGAGGGCATTATTCTGCAAACCATTATAATGGTAGCTATATATTTACATAAGTGCTTCTTCTGACACTGTGCACTGGATAGTTTAAGAATTCTATTATCAGTCTATTAACAAATAACCAACTAAGTGAAATTTTATTTTCTTTGAAATTATTTTAATCCCTACAATATTTGCACTGAGAAACTGCGCACAGGGAACTATGATCAGACTTGCAATTAAATTCTTCCATGTCATCAGGTTATCAGGTGATGTACAGTTAGATTCATTTGTCTGGTTTGTATGGAACTTTAAGGTTCATTGGGTTCTTTTATTTAACTTTTCACATTTATTCCACAAATAACCAAAGTATTTCTACAACCCAGAGATCAAAAGTACATGAAGAAGAGTACCTAGAGAAGTCTCATTTTCATATGTATCCCAGTTCCTGAATTCCTGAATTAGGCAGGTGCTTCTCTGATTGTTGTCATTGCTGTCACTTAGCCAGTACTTGACATAGCAATGGCCAATACGTGTTAGTGCAAGTCTGTCATTGTTTTGATCAGCTGCAGCCATTTTATTTCAGGATTTCAGTATCTCATTTATTTAATTTCTGAAAACAAAGAATAGAGCAATTCTGATCCCAAGGCACGATATCCTTTTGCAGACCTGATGTGTTATACGGGGTAGGACAGGGGAACAAAGCCCAGCATGTGGTAAAAGAAAGGTTTACCTACAAAGAATAGGGACTCAGGATGATCTTCCATGATTACAGCTCTGGAAAGGCTTCATGGAATATGTACAACACGGTTGAGAGCATTCTAAGGAAGAAATGACATGAACAAAGGTCTCCAGGGGAGCAGTTAGCCGGCCAGTTTGGAGAAGTAGCACAGGCCCTTGAGTTGGAACACAGTGAACTGGTCCCAGGTTCAAATGCTTCCCATGTAACTGAAGGCAAGAAGTCACTGAAACTATCACATTTCTTAGTTTCCTCAACTACTAAATGGAGATAAGACCAAGTGTCAAACCATTTTCAAAATAGTAGACATAAATCATGTTTCTTTGTTGAAATACTGAGAAGAGACTGAGAGGAGTTAGAAAATTAGGTTAGAAGCACATTAGGAAGCATGACTAAAAAAAAAAAAAATACAGTGAATGATGCTGAGCGCCATCCAGTGGGAAGGCATGCATGTAAAATCATTACAGTACATCCTCATACAGCTCATTCACCAGTCACCGTGTGACTTCTGACTCTTCCTCAAAGTCAAAACGACCATGAAAAGCAAAGTGAAACTTGTTAATCAGTATAACCAATATGTACTAATAAAAACGTGGCAAAAACTAATGGAAGGATTTTTTAAAAAATGTAAGTAATGAAAAATTTATTGGATGGAAAATTAAAATAAAAATATGTGTATGTATTCTTTAACCAAGGAACACAAATACTATTATATTTCTACAAAGATCTCATGATCTTTCCATCCTGGTACTTTTGCTCTTTAATTAATGCACAGTGTTTAACAGGATGTAATAGTAAAATATTGAGCAATTCCCCTCTTGAATGGAAACATTGTTCTAATTTTACCACATTACTTATGAATAAAGCAGGAATGTGAAACAGTGTGGAGTCATCCTTGTACCTTTGTTCACACAAAGAAATTCCCAGAGGGATGATGGGTATTATTTTAATCAGTGGACTGCAAAGTCTAAGAATACATGAGAGTCACCTGGAGATTTTGTTAGAACACAGATTCCTGGGCCTCATTCCCAGAGCTTCTGAGTTGATAGGTGAGAAGTGGGCCTGAGAATCTGCATTTTTGACAGGTTCTCAGGTGGTGCTGCTGTTGTGGATCTAGATCAATCTTTGAAAGCCTATGAAGCTTATGCAAATTTTTCACTTCAGTGAACCTGGCCGGTTATCTTTTACTAAGACTGTGGCAGTTTACATTCTGTGGTTGAACAAGCATGCACTTTCCTCACTTCACTATTACCAGCCACGACAACTTTTAGCTTTTTAGATGACTGAATGGTGGGGGCAGAAAGAGTCCATTATTCTATTTTGCACTACCTTAAGTACTTTTTTGTTATTTTCTATAGTAACTCTTACCTTTTGTCCTATTACAAAAAAATTTGTTGCAAAAATGTTTAGGAACTACACATAAGCAAAAGGAAAACAAAAGCATCCATAATTCTGCCACACATATATGATCAATATCAACATTCTATATATGTTGTAGCCTAGTTTTTCATTTAATGCTATACCCTGAATGATTTTTCCATAGCACATCTATTCTTTCCCAATATCAGCCTATATGCTACATCATATCCATGGAATGTTTTCTGAATGTGAGTCAACATTTGCAAAATGATGTTTGGGAAGATTGATCTAGCAGCAGGATTTAGAATGCGGAAAGCCTGCAAGTGAGAGGCAGGGGACTATTGATAATGCACACAAATGCTGACAGGCAGTTTAATAGAGAGAAGTGGACACAGGAAGAAAAACAACAACCTCAGCAACCATGAAGGACAGTGAGGAACAGGCCATGGCTAATCCAGTGGGGGTCCTTGGGGCATTAGGACCATAAACATGTTAGGTGTCTTGGAAGGCATAGTGATAACCCATCCTATGACTGATCTGTAAGTGTATCTCTGTGTAGGGGTGCAGGGGACAGGAGTTAACATTACAGAGGAAAAATTTCATTTTGGAGAGCAGCAGAGTTTAAATCCTATAGCCCAGAGTTGATTTTCCACTTCAAAGGATTAATTATTTTAGAGACTCCATGTTGAAGAAGAAAGACTATGTTAGCGTATTAATAAGACAGTATTGTGCCATGTTTTATGAGCTCCAGCAAGCCTATTAACCTCCCTGGACAGTTCTGTGTGTAGAGTAAGAGTAATAATCATTCATAAGGTTGTTGTGAGGATGAAATGAGATAATACATGTCAAATTCTGGTCCACAGCCAATGGGTATTTATGGCAGTTTCTTATATCATTGTAGAAACAGCAGTGCTATTGAGTAACATCATCCCTATGACTCATTCCCCAACTTGGCCTGCCCTAGAGGAGCACTGATGAACAACATGGTTGCCAATGAAGGCAAGTTGGTTTTGAAACAGTCTCTTTAGTGAGAAGCCGTCAGCTCCCACTTAAACTAAAGCTCTGACAGTATGCCACGGGGTGACTGGAGAGATTCCATGTGTGCTTGACACCTCCAGAGGTTGCACGGCCACATTACAGAGGACAACAGAGCAGAAGCTAGGAGGAGGTAAGGTCAGTACTGAAAGACTTGATCCTTTCCCTTTCTTCTTACTTTCCTTTTCTGCCAGCTCATGAGGAACTCAGGCTCACTGTTAGCTCTAGTCTCAAACTACAGACACTGATTAGAAGGAATCTGCAGGCAAGTCCATCTCTCCCAGTTTTAGTCTTTCCTTCCTTAAGGTGGAGATGGTACCCCAGGAACCCTGGGGTGTAGATTTCATTTCAAAGTGCCTCTCACGGCATCCAAGAAGAATGGACGCATATGAGTTTCCTTTGGAAACCAAAAGCCATCTCTCTACAGGGCAGCAGGATGTAAACTGTACCAGAAGATGTAGTTGCTTCAGTTGGCTGGCAACCATCGAGTGTATGATTAGCAGAAACATGAAAATAGCCATCATCCCCCATCCCTACTCTCAGATAACTCTCAGGCAACTAGAAACACAAAGTACCCATTCTCATAACTAGTTTCTTCAAGGTTGGAAAAAGATAAAACTTAGACCCAATTGCAACGTCCCATTTGCCTCTGATGACAGGAAGTGCACTTCAAATGGCAGTGAACAAGTGATTCACCAAAACACTGTGGTCCCTTTGGGTCTGGACAGAGTGGTTTGAGGGAGAAAGGGAACCAAGACTCATTTACCCCAGAATTACTGTTAAGTCAGCCCTGTTGCACACCCTTGTTCCATCTCATTTCTACAACAGGCCTAGGAGTTGGGTATCACCACCCTCTTTTCATGGATGAGGAAAGGAAGACTCAAAGATTAAGTAGACGAGCAGCATAGCAGGTGACAGCTGCCCCTCTTTTGCCCACATTTCTTCTAATTTAGTTTCCCAGCATACGTTCTTATTGTCTTGATTGCTTTACTGACCAACAGTCCTCCAACTCCTACAAAAGAAGAAGCAGTGCAGACTTGATTTCTCTCTTTCGATCAGTCTATTCAGTTTTCTCTTATGCCAAGCTGGGCACAAGTGAAATTCAGTGGGTGTGGTATTAAAACTTCACTTCCTCCTCTACTGAACTCTAACTTTAGTGTGTACTGTGCAGCCCATGTTGACGGAACAGTGAATTGTGATGGTGGAGAATTCTGTATTTTCAGTTAAAGCCAAACTTGTTTACTCATTTTTTGAAAAACAAATCCTCCCACAGTGTGAGCCAGTCCCTGGATTTTTGTTAACAAAACCATTATGTTTTCAAAACTGCAATGAATGGAAATGTGCTGTTTCCTGCTGTCCCATCTCCCCCGTTCCTTTCCTCTCTCACCCTGTGTGTGTTTGTGTGTGTGTGTGTGTGTGTGTGTGTGTGTGTAATGTACTTCTTCCTTCCAGAGATGCTCACAGCTGTTTCCCTTCCTCCCTCTCTCTCCTGAGCGTTGGGGCAGCTTTCATTTTTTCATCCGAGTGTCTGGGGCCTTATGGAAACTCTCCCACATCATGATTGCTTCCACACTTTTATGTGCTTTAAAGGACATCAGCTGACAATTGCTTATTGATTTTGAGTGGGGAATCCTCCCTTACAAAGCAATTTGCAGTTAATGATGGAATGTGGAGGCACCCTTCTCTGCTTCCTGCTCCCCAGCTTCCTCCTCACCCCACCCTGCACTGGCACCCTACAAACTAGGCCACCCTAGGCTCTGTGCCTCCTTTCCAATATTTCTGGTGAAGCTGACTTTCTATTTCTCAGACCCCTTGAACAACTTGATCCTTCTAGTGTTGAGTAATTTTGAAAAATGTTTGAAACCTAAATACGGAAAAGAATTCCCTGCTTCCCAAACACTTGAAGTCCCGACACAGGGCTTCCACCTGCTGGATAGCCTTGGTGGCTCATGCCTTCTTCTGCCCACTAAGCGGCAGGGATAGAGTGGCTGGGCTAGGGCAGAGCCCTCACATGCCATGGGCCATGCTGGAGTCTGATTGCCACATCCATGTCAGTGCTCATTACTGAGTGAAGTTGTGTGAGAAGGAGGCTGTGTGTTTACAGTGCTCATCTTGTTCCAGGCACGATGCTAGTCAGGGTTAAATACGGAATTTCACTGATTCTATCCACAAGCTCTCTAGAAGATCAAACCCCATACTCCTAGAAAGTGAATATTTTCCAAGGACCTGTCACTTCCAGTCACTATTTCTTCAGTGACAAAACTGGGCTTCGAGAAGCTAAGTGGTTTGCCAAGATCACACAGTAATGTAATGGAAGTGACAAGTGGCAAGCCCGCCCTCTGACTCCGAATTCCGCCTTCCATTTCTCTGCAGCTAGCAAGTGTTCCGTTTACTAAAAACTCACGCTGGAAATGAATTCAATGTGTTGAAGAATGGCATTGTGAAGTCTCTTCATGTTGACTAAGATGACTTATCTACCAGAGGCAATGCTCCTTTTCCTCCCAGGGAACTGACTGTGACCACTGCCACCTGGGATTTGGCCTTGATTCTTAGGCACTCGGGATCCTCTTCAGGCTGGGTGACAGGGTCAGAAATAATAAAGCACATTCTCTGAACAGCACATCTCTCCTTTCAGAAAAACAGGACTTTTATTCAGCCATAAAACTAAGGCTTTCTTAATATTAGCATAGATTCACATTAATAAGCTGGCATTAGGGTGCAAACTTTTAATCCCAGCACTTTGTAGGCTGAGACAGAAGGATCACAAGTTTGATCCCAACCCAAGTGACCTAGAGACTTAGAAAGAACCTGTTCCAAAAATTTTAAAAAGGGGATGGAGCCCCTGAGGAAATCAGGATGGAGAGTCCTTAAAAAACTGAGATGAGAGGTCCCATTTGACCCTGCTGTACCCCTACTGAGCATCTTCTCAAAAGAATTAAAAGCATCATACCACAGCAATCTAAGTGCACCCATGTTTATAGTGGCACAGTTTGTAATAGCTAAATCTTGGAAACAGCCCAAATGCCCAGCAATTGGTGACTGGAGAAAGAACATATATATTATAATGGAGTACTACTTGGCCATAAAGAATGAGAAATTAGAAACATTTATAGCTAAATGGATGGACATTGAGGCCATACTCCTAAGTGAAATAAATGGAACACGCGTAAATATTGAATAGTTTCTCTGGTGTGAGAAACGGAAAGTGTATATGAAGGCCAAAATGTGTAATAGATAATATGAAATAAGACAAGGTCCAAAGAGAAAGGGGAAGTCAGGAAGGGGTAAGGAGAAAGAAAAGAAGGGAAAAACATGAAAAAAGAAATATGAAAAACAGAAACAAAGTTTTTGTAAATAGGGAGGGGTGGAGAAGTAGAAGGGGAATGGGAAAAAGAAGAACCAAGATATATCATGTACAGGTACCAATTCCCAGTGATGAATGTGACCATGATATACACCTAACATGTACCAATAAACATAACAAAAGGGAGGGCAGGGACAAGGGGAAAAATGAGAACCAAGACCTGTCATGGAGAGGTACAAGATCCCAATGATGAATGGAACTGTACTGTATACCTAAAATGTACCAATAAACTCAGTGAAAACACCATAATGAAAAGTCTATGTCCAGCAAAAAAATAAATAAAAAACTAAAAAGGGGGATGGGATATAACTCAGCCCTGAGTTCAGTCCCCATAGTTAATAAATAAAATCTGGAGAAAGTTTTTTTAAGTTAAAAATAGAAATGAGTAAACGTCTTACATTTTAAGCCTTTTCCATTTTTCTGGTAAACTGCTTTGAAAAGGAACACTTAACCTATTCTTTCTAGCTACAGTATTAAAGTAATAAAGTCTTCCTCCTCCTGACACTTTAAGTTCACTTGCAGAATTTTTCCTCTAAGGAAATATGCAATGTCACTGCTTTTCTGCTAATCCCAAGAAAAAACTGCTTTTTTTGTTGTTGTTTTTCTATGTATGTCGTTTTTAATTTTTGTTAAGTAAACTTTGTGGTGTTATTATTAAAAGCAGAATCCAAAATCCTAGCCCTTTTTTACAATTTTTAAAATACACTGAGATAAAATATCACTTTTTTAAGAGATATTATGTTAGTTATGCACAGGTATTCAGACCTTCTAAAGCAGTCTAAACCTCCCTCAAAGTTTTTTTTTTTTTAAATGCCTTTCTTCTAGTATCTCACTACCTTTCTTGTTACTTTTACAGATTAACATTCCCAGGATCTAATAGCCAAGAACGAGTTTCAGACAGAAGAACAACACTGAAATCGGTAGTATAATAGGTGCTTCCTTAGGGCAAAGATACCTGGAGACGTGATGGAAGGCTGTGGATCTGCCAGTCAAGCAGTAAATATTTACTGTGCTCTGCTTTGACCATAGGACCGGCTGGTTTAAATAAAGATGTTGGGGTCTCTGAAGAAATGCAGCTGGGAACCGAAAGTTACAAGGGGCCGAGGCAGACTCTCGCCTGCCTCACTCCGGGGCTCTGGGTCCCCAGATTCTGACCCTGTTTGTGCCGCTTCATCTTCCTCTTGGGACCCTGTGCTCTCCTCCTGCCGTGCGGTGGCTGCCCCCATATCATCACGCCCGCATCTGAATTTGGCTTGCTGTGCTGTGGGTTCAGGTCGGCCTCTGCCTGCGCTGCCAGCAGTCATTTCCAAAGAGGACTGGCTAAGTGCTGTGTCCCAAGTCCAAATTTCAGAAAGAGGGATGCAACTAACCGGTCCTGGTTGGATCCAGAGCAGTCCGGTCAGCTGTGGCCAAGGAGCTGCGCTTCATATTGTGGCCCCCTCGCTTTAGATCTAGTATAACTTTAAAGGTCCATGTGGTAAAGGCTAGTTAATCTGGACAAGTTAAACTGACTTTCCACTTTCTAATCGGTCTAGTGAAGACAACATCAGCCTCAAAGTGGCACAGTTCAGATGAAATAAGATGATGTTTGCCAAGTGTTTGGGACAGAAAAGTGTTTTTGAAATGCTAATTTTCTTCTGCTCCCATCTAGGCTAGGCTGTGTACTCCGTTTAGAAATATCACGTCTAATAAACATTTCCATGATTCATGGAAGCCAATCATTAGTATT